TGACGCCAGGTTCCTCAGGGTTTCTGAGACGATAGCTCTATGTTCAGCGTATGGAAGGTGTTGATTATATTGATCTAACCTAGGTTGCCTTTTCTTGAGGTAGTCTTTGTTGTAAAGAGGCCACTTGTTTGTTTCCCGGCTGCCAGGCAGCTCAGACCCAAAATAATCACACAGAAACTGTATTATTTAAAACACTGCTTGGCCTGTTAGCTCTAGCTTCTTATTGGCTAGCTCTTACTTATTAATTTAACCCATTTCTATTAATCTGTGTATCACCACGAGGCTGTGGCTGACCATGTAAAGTTCGAGTATCTGTCTCTGGTGGAGCTACATGGCTTCTCTCTGACTCCGCCTCCTTTCTCCCAGCATTCAGTTTAGTTTTCCCCACTTATCTCTATTCTGCTCTGTGAAGGGCCAAGACAGTTTCTTTACTAACCAGTGGTATTCACAACATACTGAGGGGAATCTCACGTCAAGCCTTAACAGAGTGATGGGTTTCTTACTATGTAGACCTTCAACACCCATGACCTGCCGGCTGGTGAATCTGTCTGACTGCAGTTTTCCCAAAGAAATGACAAACAGCATTTTTGTCCTCAAACCGTGGTGGGGACCAGAACTCCTAAGACCCTGGGTATACAGGATGCATCCTTGGTTCTTTGGGGTCTACTCACCACACAGAATCTTGAAAGGGATTTATTTACAATCCAAAATACTGAACTAGGAAGAGGTTAGGCGTAGGTATAGTCATGAACTATACCTAGTCTAGTTGGCCGAGGGAGGTTTACCTGAGTCTGTAGATTTTCCCATTAGGGAACCTTGGGTTCCTTGACATTGTGTGAGGTATTCTGTGTTCACAAATGTTTTTCTTGGAGGCTGCAATTTTCACTGGACATCCTGAGAGATTGAGGTCTCCCAGGCGACTCTGGGTGGTGCGTTCCTTGGGAGCAGGAACCTGTCTTGCCACTGCATCTCACTGGCAGAAACAGAGATTCTGCCCGGTGGCTGGTGAGTGGAAGACAAATGAACAACCAGAGTCAGCCAAGGCTAGAGACTGCCTTGGAATTGCTTCTTGGGTTGATGTGACACCCTTTGGGTTCTGCTGTTACATGAGAGGGAAGATTGAACTTTAGCCTTGGAGTTAGACGCCCCATTTCTCTTTCCAATCATGCCTGTTCACTTGTTAGGAAGATTTTAAAGCCTCTGCTTCCAGATTTTCAGTACCTACTTCTCAGCCAATGGTTTCTCCCAGCATTCCCTTCACCTCAGCATATTCTGGAATATACTTAATTTGGCCCAGAAAAGATGGGAAGAAAGCAGAGGGTCATGGCCCAAGCCAGTCTTTGGGGAGTGGCTCAACTGATTTTTTTTTTCCCTAACCAGAAGAACTCTATCAATGTTGAGTCTATTTAAATATTCCTGGCCAATAGATGTGACTTAATATGTTTGGTATTTCTACATAGGCAGGTATCATAGTTTCTGGTGCTGTGCTACAATACTACGACCAAGAGCAGCTCATGGGAGGGAGACTTTATTCCGACTATGACGCCATCATGACAGCAGGCTCGGGAAACTGAGGGGTCACATCTCAACCACAAGCATGAGTGGGGGAGGGAATAGGGAGAGAGAACAGAAATGGGGTAAAGCAATAAATCCTCTAAGCCCACCCCTAGTGATGCACTTCTCCCAGCAAGGCTGTACCTTCTCAGCCTCCAAACAGCGCTAGTAACTAGAGACTGAGTGTTCAGATAATGTCTGCCTGCAGGAGACTTTTCTCATTCAAACCACCGCAAAATGGTCATCAGAAAAAAAAAAAAAATCAGTCCTATGTGCCTAGGTGTCGGAGCTGATTGTTGTACTAGCTATATTTGGAGGTGTGGATGGGTCTGGAGGGCAGGCACTTGAGATAGGGTGGCAGAGAGCAAGAAGACATGTATTTACGTGTGGCCTGCAGAAAAGTCGGTGGTGGGGTCCAGTTATTGGAGGGTCTCAGAGGTCTGGCCATGTGTAGAATGGCTGCGCTTGGGCCATAGCTGTACCCCCAATGCTTTGATGCACCCGCTGGGAGAGAAAGCCCTCCCAGATCTTCACTCTGCATAGTTGAGGGACTGAGGTACTAGGCCCACAGAGACTGTGGCTGTGACCTTCTGAACCTTCTGTGCAGTCCAGGAGCCAAATAGGATTGGAAAATATTGGCGGCCAAGGTGACCACTGAGGGATGCAAAGCTCTGGAAACTGAGAGGAGGAGGAAGAGACACAGGCCTGGAAATACTAACATTTGGGAACTGATGGGGGCCCACGGGTGATCTACACAGTGAGGCAGCTTCCTCATCAACCCTGGTTCAGACGCACACACTCAGACCCTTAGTTCCCTTCAGGGATCTTCCTCTTTGCCTCCTGGGGATTCCTTGCCTATTAAATTTTATATGCCGCCTCCCCAGGACAGGTTAGGCATAGTGCAGACGAGACAAGGCGTGTAGATAAGTCACTCCTTAAAACACACATGGGGCAGGAGTTCCAGGTTTGGAGGCCAGATTAAGATGCGGAGGAGCACGTGAGGTTGATGATTATATTTCGGGGAGAGTTAATTGATGGAAGGTGAAGACAGACAAAGAACCGCTGCTTACTGCCTTCTTGAATCCCAATCAGGAATTATGATTAAAGTCGCAGCGAGACAACAGAGGGCTGATGAATTGGTGTCTTTTTTTTCCCCTTTTTTTTTTTGCCGTCATTCACACTTGATTGACTTCAACCTTTCAAGTGCAAAAGTCTCTCTTTTCCATTATTATTCATAGCCATCTGAGTTTTTCTAATTAAAGTGTATGAAAACAATTACTGATCCGTCGTACTGAGTCTGCGAGAGGGGTTGTCTGCCTTACTGTAATGCCTATAAAAAGCCCACGGTTTTCTATAATGATGTGCAGCTGAGGTGTTAGATAATTTTATTCTTTTTTACTCTGTAGGGCTTTTTTTTATTTCTCATGATTCATTTTTCATAATTCCTAAAGATCCCCAAAAAGGACTGATCCTGCAGCTACAACTGAGAAAAAAGGTGGTGGTGGGGGCTCTTTTCCCCCCCTCCCTTTCTCCCCCTCTTACCCCCAACCTTGTGCTCTCCCTTGGCTGAAGACGATAAATTAATCGGTGACCTTTCACTCCTTGGATTCCCGCTGGACTCCCCGACCACACTGGTCAGAAATGCTTTCTATTAAAAAGAAAATAGATGGAACGAGTTTGGCAGTCTCCACTCCACCCTGGACCACGCAGCAGCAGCTCGCTCTAAGCAGGTGCCGCAGGCGTGTGTGCAGCGCAGCTGTCTGGGGGTTGGGCCCGTGCCCCTCCCATTCACCTGCCATACACCTGCTCTTCTTAGCACCGGGCTTCTCGGGACCCTTCCTTCTCTGGTTCACCTGTTGCTTAAGGGGCCGAAGAAAACTGTCACACACCTAAATGTGACCTCTCTTTGGTTAGTGGTCACAGTTGTTTGGGTCTCCTCTACTTTGTTAGAGCCTTGCTGACACTAGAGAACACGCCAGCCGCTCTCTGAGAAAGGCTGGAATCTTACAGTCATTAAAATATCTTTTAAATATTAATTTTAATCAAAACTCTAAGTGAAATTATTCTTGCAGCAAAGCTTTGTCTGATTGGTACAGCAGGGCCTCCAGGTGGGGCCTGTTACCATGTTACTTCTCCCCCAGTTGTCAAGTTAAAGACCGTTTCTAATTCATTTGGAATTGTCATTGCTGCTGGATTTTCCTGCCTCGTGGCAGTCAAAGAAAGAATACTCTTATTTTCCCCCCTTTTAATCTCGAGAATGTCACACGTGTATACGATGAGATATGATCGTATCTACTCCCCCTTTTGGTCCTCCAACACACCATCCATGTCCTCACTTAGCATGCCCCCTCCCCGATGAGGTAGGTGATCTACAGGACCCACCTCAGACTTAGCTCCGGGCATGGGTCGTTACTGGGAAAGGGAGAATCATTTGATTTTTTTTTTTTTTTTTTTTTTGAGGACGTGGCCTCTGGTGGGTTGCGCATGCAACTTAGCGAGATTGTTGCTTTTTAGATGGAGAGCCCTTAGTCCTTTCCCTGGGTACTGAAGGCCTGTGATAAGTTGTTGGGACTGGCTTCTGGCCACACAGCAGGGAGGCAGAGAAAAAAGTCTGAGGATCTGACCTAAAATGTAGCTACTTAGATCAGGGCTAATTATGGAAATGCTCCATTAGGGGCTAACAGCCCAGTCTCAAGGTCGGGGAGGGTGCCCTGTTGTAGAGCGCTGTGCAGAATTAGCTGGGTGGCTGGGATCCTGGGTACAGGTTCCCTCTGATGCTGTGGACCTTAGGCACAAAGGCTCTGGATGAAATTCTGACTTCAGTGAGTTACAGAGAATGCTTGTTTGTGCGTGCTCTTGGCTTGTAAAGAGTTCTGGTGTTTCCTAGAAGACCTGCCAGCGTGTCTGCTTGTCCTGGCTTCCTGCCTTTGTTCTCCTCTCTCCTTACCCTTTCCTTCACTCTGCCTCCCCTCCTCTCCTTGCCTGAATACATTTGAAAACAGTGCTACAATGCTCCCTGCTTCAAGATTACCATGTACTTTACTAGGTATGATTTAATTAGGGCCCTTATTATGTTTTCAGCAGCTTAAGGTGGGCCTTTCAACTTATCTACCTAATTGGTTGCACAAGAAGTTTCACAGCCCATGACAAAACATTGTCAGTGATCAAAGTCAAAATTCTGCATAAAAGAAAAATATTAATAATAAGATTATTCTTCAAGTGTGCACTGCTAATTATGTCCAGAATGTAACCGTAGAAACACTTTTGACTGATGGGAGCTCTGTCTAATAAACATGAGTCTTCACTGAGCTATGAAAAGTGACACCGGCAGCTTAACACTGGTGAAGGCTAATTTTGCTTATTAAATAATTTTTAAACCTTTCGTATTTTGTGTCCGTTCCCTCCGCGATCTGACTCCTCTTGTTTCTCTGCTTCTCCCTCCTCAGGTGACCACTCCTGAGATGGTGATGCCCAGCAGCATGTTCCTCCCTGCAGCTGTTCCAGACCGCGACGGGAATTCCAGTTTGGAAGAGGCGGGAAAGCCACCTGGTTAGCAACATTCATCTTTATTCCTGCAGACTGAAGCAAAATGAATTCTTGGGCCAAAATTTTTATGGGGCAAGGGACTAGGGATTCTTTAGAATAGATTCTGGATGAGCGGGGCTGAGGGGCTCCATCACCAAAACCTGTACACTTGAGGTCTTAGCATGTGTCCTGTAGACAGTTTGTTCACTTGGTTTAACCATAAAGGACTGCCTGAGATCTCGTGGGATACTGATATGGGACGTAGGTCCCCACAGAGTGCTCAGTTAAGGCCCTAGTCTCTAGAGACCTGCCGTTCAAAGATCCTAAGGTTCCTTTGCTGTCTTTCTTGATGCCTTTTTGCATAGCATTCTTGGAGTCTTCTGGAACTGCCTTTTGGTAAACGTAGCATTTGGAAGGACCGTGGCCACGGACGTGTCTCCTGCAGTTGTCATGGCCACAGAGTGGTTCTGAGGTCTCCGGGAAGCTCTCCTCAGTCTTGAACACACTCTCAAGGACATCTAAGGCCGACACTGCAGATGCCTGGCCTTCGTCCTTGTGATGTGTCCAGGTGACCTGGGAAGAGCCAGGGCACTTACAGATATGATGATCTCGTTGCTTAAGGGGGGGGGGGGGAGAATGTAATGCATTTTTGGGAATCCTTACTGCTTACCGAATAGAGCTGACATTCTAAAGCCACACTAATACTTACCTGTTAGCATTAGCAAGGGCAAGGACCTGGGTTCAGGAAACAGCGATGCTACAAAAAAAAAAAAAAAAAAAAAAAGAGTCACGTTAAACATGAAACTAAATGCCCTTAAGAGACCCCAAAATGTGTTAGCTTCCTCACAACTCGGGACAGCACTAGTGTAGGTGACAGCAGATCTAATGTGCTCAATTTTTATGACAAAAAACAGTGACCATAAAGGGTGCCGTTTAGATCACAGTAACCTTCTAACTGCCTTTTGGGAAACTGAGGCTTCTGAGTCAACTAAATACTATTTAGAAGGTCCGTGGCATGACTCAGACATGGTATGAACTGAACCTATTTATATCCTCCTAGTCACCTCTGTTCGCGCGCACCTTGTTTATGTGTGCATTCTAGAATCTGGCCCTGTGGAGAGATGCTGGCACCCGGTCAGGTGTTTCCTGTATTCATAAAGCCTGGCTAGATGAACGGCCCTGAGCGCCACCCTGAGAACAAAGCCTTCTTTCTCTTTGGGGCTTGACATGTCTTCTTCTTCTTCTTTTTTTTTTTTTTTTAAACAGAAACCTCAGAGGATCTGGGAAAGAACATCTTGCCGTCTGCAAGCACAGAGCACAGTGGAGATCTGAAACCCCCCTCCGCCGACCCCGGTGGTGCGAGAGAAGACACGGGCTTCCTCTGCTGGAAGAAGGGGTGCAACCAGGTCTTCAAGACCTCTGCTGCCCTCCAGACCCACTTCAACGAGGTGCATGCCAAGAGGCCGCAGCTGCCTGTGTCGGATCGCCACGTGTACAAGTACCGCTGCAACCAGTGCAGCCTGGCTTTCAAGACCATCGAGAAGCTGCAGCTCCACTCTCAGTACCACGTGATCAGGGCTGCCACCATGTGCTGCCTTTGCCAGCGCAGTTTCCGGACTTTCCAGGCCCTGAAGAAACACCTCGAGACAAGTCACCTGGAGCTGAGTGAGGCTGACATCCAGCAGCTGTATGGCGGACTTCTAGCCAACGGGGACCTCTTGGCGATGGGAGACCCCACCCTGGCCGAAGACCACACCATTATTGTTGAAGAAGACAAGGAGGAAGAGAGTGACCTGGAGGATAAGCAGAGTCCAACAGGCAGCGATTCCGGGTCAGTACAGGAAGACTCAGGTTCAGAGCCAAAGAGAGCTTTGCCTTTCCGAAAAGGCCCCAACTTTACCATGGAGAAGTTCCTAGACCCTTCCCGCCCTTACAAGTGTACTGTCTGTAAGGAGTCTTTCACTCAGAAGAATATCCTGCTAGTGCACTACAATTCCGTCTCCCACCTGCATAAGTTAAAGAGGGCCCTTCAAGAATCGGCAACTGGCCAGCCGGAGCCCACCAGCAGCCCGGACAACAAACCATTTAAGTGTAACACTTGCAATGTGGCGTACAGCCAGAGTTCCACGCTGGAGATCCACATGAGGTCTGTGCTGCACCAAACCAAGGCCCGAGCAGCCAAGCTGGAAGCAGCAAGTGGCAGCAGCAGCAGCAGCAGCAACGGGACTGGGAACAGTGGCGGCGTGTCCCTTAGCTCCTCCACGCCAAGTCCTGTGAGCACCAGCGGTGCTAACACCTTTACCACCGCCAACCCAAGCAGTGCTGGCATGACTCCAGGCTCCAACCTGCTGAGCCAGGTGCCCACTGAGAGTGTGGGGCTGCCGCCTCTGGGGAATCCCATCAGTGCCAACATCACTTCCTCTCCAGAGCCCAAGGAGGCCAACCGGAAGAAGTTAGCGGATATGATTGCTTCTCGGCAGCAGCAGCAACAGCAGCAGCAGCAGCAGCAACAGCAGCAAGCACAGACACTGGCCCAGGCCCAGGCTCAAGTGCAGGCGCACTTGCAGCAGGAGTTGCAGCAGCAGGCTGCCCTGATTCAGTCTCAGCTTTTTAACCCCACTCTGCTTCCTCACTTTCCCATGACCACAGAGACGCTGCTCCAGCTGCAGCAGCAGCAGCATCTGCTCTTCCCTTTCTATATCCCCAGCGCAGAGTTCCAGCTCAATCCGGACGTGAGCCTGCCTGTGACCAGCGGGGCTCTGACACTGACGGGGTCAGGCCCAGGCCTGTTGGAAGATCTGAAGGCTCAGGTCCAGATCCCACAGCAGAGCCACCAACAGATTCTGCAGCAGCAGCAGCAGCAGCAACAACAGCAGAATCAAGTCTCTCTTTCGCAGAGTCATTCAGCCCTCCTTCAGCCAAGCCAGCACCCCGAAAAGAAAACCAAACTGGCCAGCAAAGAAAAGGAAAAGGAAGGCCAGCGAGAGAGGGAGGGGCCGGAGGGGGTAGAGGGTAACACAGGACAGAAGGAATCACTGCCTGATGCCTTGAAGGCCAAAGAGAAGAAAGAGTTGGCACCAGGGGGTGGTTCTGAGGCGTCTATGCTCCCTCCGCGCATCGCTTCGGATGCCAGAGGGAATGCTACCAAGGCCTTGCTGGAGAACTTTGGCTTTGAGCTGGTCATTCAGTACAATGAGAACAAGCAGAAGGTACAGAAGAAGAACGGAAAGACGGAGCAGGGCGAGAGCCCGGAGAAGCTTGAGTGTGACTCGTGTGGCAAGCTCTTTTCCAACATCTTGATTCTGAAGAGCCATCAGGAACATGTGCACCAGAACTATTTTCCCTTCAAACAGCTGGAGCGGTTTGCCAAGCAATACCGAGAGCACTATGATAAACTGTACCCGCTGAGGCCGCAGACCCCAGAGCCGCCGCCCCCGCCCCCACCCCCTCCTCCGCCCCCACTTCCTGTGGCACCCCCCCAGCCAGCTTCTACGCCAGCCATCCCGGCATCTGCGCCACCCATCACTTCCCCCACCATCGCCCCGGCCCAGCCCTCCGTGCCTCTCACCCAGCTCTCCATGCCGATGGAGCTGCCCATCTTCTCCCCGCTGATGATGCAGACGGTGCCGCTGCAGACTCTGCCAGCTCAGCTGCCCCCTCAGCTTGGCCCCGTGGAGCCTTTGCCCGCCGATCTGGCCCAGCTGTACCAGCATCAGCTCAATCCGACCCTGCTCCCGCAACAGAGCAAAAGGCCACGCACCAGGATCACCGATGACCAGCTCCGCGTGCTGCGGCAGTATTTCGATATCAACAACTCCCCCAGTGAGGAGCAGATAAAAGAGATGGCAGACAAGTCCGGCTTGCCCCAGAAAGTGATCAAGCACTGGTTCAGAAACACTCTGTTTAAGGAGCGGCAGCGCAACAAGGACTCCCCGTACAACTTCAGCAACCCACCCATCACCAGTCTGGAGGAGCTCAAGATCGACTCCCGGCCCCCGTCGCCAGAACCCCAGAAGCAGGAGTACTGGGGAAGCAAGCGGTCGTCGAGAACAAGGTTTACCGACTACCAGCTCAGAGTCCTTCAGGACTTCTTCGATGCCAACGCTTACCCCAAGGACGATGAGTTTGAGCAGCTTTCGAATTTGTTGAACCTCCCCACCCGTGTCATAGTGGTGTGGTTTCAGAACGCCCGGCAGAAAGCCAGGAAAAATTACGAGAACCAGGGAGAGGGCAAAGATGGAGAGCGGCGCGAGCTTACCAACGACAGATACATTCGAACGAGCAACCTGAATTACCAGTGCAAAAAGTGTAGCCTCGTGTTTCAGCGCATCTTCGATCTCATCAAGCACCAAAAGAAGCTGTGTTACAAGGATGAGGATGAAGAAGGGCAGGATGACAGCCAAAATGAGGACTCCATGGATGCCATGGAGATGCTCACCCCCACCAGCTCCTCTTGCAGCACCCCTATGCCCTCCCAGGCGTACAGCACCCCAGCGCCCTCAGCCAGCACAGCTCCCTCTGCATTCTTGCAGCTCACCGCGGAGACGGAGGAACTGACCACCTTCAGTTCGAAAGCAGAGGCGAGCGACGAGAAGCCAAAGCAGGCAGACCCTCCCAGCGCACAGCCAAACCAAACCCAAGAGAAGCAAGGACAGCCAAAGCCGGAGGTGCAGCAGCAAGAGCAGCCGGAGCAAAAGACTAACGCACCTCAGCCCAAGCTCCCACAGCTGGCTGCCCCCTCCTTGCCGCAGGCGCCTCCACAAGCACCCCCTCCGCAGTGCCCCCTCCCCCAGTCAAGCCCCAGCCCCTCTCAGCTCTCCCATCTGCCCCTCAAGCCCCTCCACACATCAACTCCTCAGCAGCTGGCAAACCTACCTCCTCAGCTCATCCCCTACCAGTGTGACCAGTGCAAGCTGGCGTTCCCATCCTTCGAGCACTGGCAGGAGCATCAGCAGCTTCACTTTCTGAGCGCACAGAACCAGTTCATCCACCCGCAGTTTCTGGACAGGTCGTTGGATATGCCTTTCATGCTGTTTGATCCCAGTAACCCCCTCCTGGCCAGCCAGCTGCTCTCGGGGGCCATACCTCAGATCCCCGCCAGCTCAGCCACTTCTCCTTCCACACCAACCTCCACGATGAACACTCTCAAGAGGAAGCTGGAGGAGAAGGCCAGCGCGAGCCCAGGCGAGAACGACAGCGGGACGGGCGGAGAAGAGCCTCAGCGAGACAAGCGTCTGAGGACGACCATTACGCCAGAACAGCTGGAGATTCTCTACCAGAAGTACCTGCTGGACTCGAACCCAACTCGGAAGATGCTGGATCACATCGCCCACGAGGTGGGCTTGAAGAAGCGTGTGGTCCAGGTGTGGTTTCAGAACACCCGAGCCCGGGAAAGGAAAGGTCAGTTCCGGGCTGTGGGCCCAGCGCAGGCCCACCGGAGATGCCCGTTTTGCAGAGCACTCTTCAAGGCCAAGACTGCCCTCGAGGCTCACATCCGGTCCAGGCACTGGCACGAAGCCAAGAGAGCTGGCTACAACCTGACCCTGTCCGCCATGCTGTTAGACTGTGACGGGGGACTCCAGATGAAGGGAGATATTTTTGACGGAACTAGCTTTTCCCACCTCCCCCCAAGCAGTAGCGACGGTCAGGGTGTGCCCCTCTCGCCTGTGAGCAAAACCATGGAGCTGTCCCCCAGGACTCTTCTCAGTCCCTCCTCCATCAAGGTGGAAGGGATCGAAGACTTTGAAAGCCCCTCCATGGCCTCGGTTAATCTGAACTTCGACCAGACAAAGCTGGACAACGACGACTGCTCCTCTGTCAACACCGCAATCACAGACACCACGACGGGGGACGAGGGCAACGCCGATAACGACAGCGCGTCGGGAATAGTGACCGAAGCCAAATCTTCTGCACCCAACGAGGGCTTGACCAAAGCGGCCATGATGGCAATGTCCGAGTACGAAGACCGACTGTCATCCGGTCTGGTCAGCCCAGCCCCGAGCTTTTATAGCAAGGAGTATGACAATGAAGGTACCGTGGACTATAGCGAAACCTCGAGCCTCGCGGACCCCTGCTCCCCAAGCCCCGGGGCAAGCGGGTCTGCAGGTAAATCTGGTGACGGCGGGGATCGACCCGGGCAGAAACGTTTTCGCACTCAGATGACCAATCTGCAGCTGAAGGTCCTCAAGTCGTGCTTCAATGACTACAGGACACCCACCATGCTGGAATGTGAGGTCCTGGGCAATGACATTGGACTGCCAAAGAGAGTTGTTCAGGTCTGGTTCCAAAACGCCCGGGCAAAAGAGAAGAAGTCCAAGTTAAGCATGGCCAAGCATTTTGGTATCAACCAAACGAGTTACGAGGGACCCAAAACAGAGTGCACTTTGTGTGGTATCAAGTACAGCGCGAGGCTGTCTGTACGCGACCATATCTTTTCCCAGCAGCATATCTCCAAAGTTAAGGACACCATCGGAAGCCAGCTGGACAAGGAGAAAGAATATTTTGACCCAGCCACCGTGCGCCAGTTGATGGCTCAGCAAGAGCTGGACCGGATTAAAAAGGCTAATGAGGTCCTTGGACTGGCAGCTCAGCAGCAAGGGATGTTTGACAACGCCCCTCTCCAGGCTCTTAACCTTCCTACCACGTATCCAGCGCTCCAGGGCATTCCTCCCGTGTTGCTCCCTGGCCTCAACAGCCCCTCTTTGCCGGGCTTTACTCCATCCAACACAGGTGGGTCCTGCTCCTGGTGATTGTTTTCAGAGTTCGGCAGGCAGACGCTCAGTTTTATTATGAGGCTACCAATGCTCTGGGTGGTGGTCAAGTAGGAGGCTTGCCTCCCTAGTCCCCTAAAGGAAACACAGTGGCAGGTCCTATTGCAGTTCCCTATCCAGCCATGTATCTCCCCCTCCCCCTGTGCCAGTGGGTACTTGGATTCCTTGGACTCTCCTATGCTGCAATGTGCCCACTTTGGGAGGATGTCCTCTGACATTACTCAGGGTGCCCGTTGCTAAGAAACATCTGACATACTAATTTCCAGGGAATTTCCAACCTTGCGGTCATATGATCCCACGTAGGTAATTGTTATAAATAGAAGACCAGGGGATTGCCTAGCTGAGACTGTATTGGCCCCGGTAGCAGCTGCCTGGAGAGACCTGAAATCAACCCCTTGTCCTCACGCGCGTAGTCCCACACACCTTTCCGAGAGCAGGAAGCCGTTCTTCGTGCTGGGTGCTTCCTCCATCCGTTCTCTTCTGTTGAGAATAGCGTTAATCTCTGGGACAGGTGACTACTGTGTGCTCCAGTCTCCCTTCCCTCACACTTGGCTCGTCTGGAGGCACACACGTTTGCTGCTTATGGGGACTTTTGCAGTTCTTTCGACAGACGTTCCTTTCTTGTTCCTCCTCATCTGTCTTCACCTGTCTTTGCAGCCCTCTGAAACTGGACCTTCTCCTCCAGCATCCTGCGAGGATTAGACACACGCTAGTGAGTCCCCTCTACAAAGGTCTAAGCTAACCAGCCCACACACTAGACCCCCACAAGGCCGCCTTGTCTTCCCGAAGCTTGGGGCTACAGTTGGCTTCCCTAGAGCAGTCCTAGTTCAATTAACTTAATAATGCCGGCGGTGCTTAACAGAGTATAAGCTACTGCATTGCTGCTCTGTTTCTTACCAAAGGGAACAAGAAAAGAAAGCATTAAGACAAAGGCTTTTGCATAAATATATCACGCAGACTGATGTTGAAGCCAGCAAGACGTAAGCCAGGAAGCAAATTGCGGCAAGTGGTCAGACATTTGAGTGATCTTTGCAGCCTAGGGTACTGGCAGGAAGGCCCAGCATATAATGATATAATGGCGTGAAAATAAGAGAATCGGGACCAGCAAGATGGCTCATTGGGTAAAAGCACTTGCCGTGTAAACCTGATGGCATGATTTTGATCATCAGAATGCACACACACACACACACAGAGTCTGATGCATTGGCACACATCTGGAATCCCAAGAGTCCAGATGAGAAGTAGAAACAGGAGATTCGCCTAGAAGCATATGGGCTAGCTAACCTGGAAATAGCTGGGCAGACATAAGAGAGACCCTGCCTCGACAGGGTAGAAGGTGGGAACTCATTCCCAATAGATGACCTTTGGCCTTGACGTAACCACCATAACACACGAACACCTCCCGACAACAAAAGTTTTAAGGTAGTCTTAGAATGTCTGATGTGTGCCCTTGTCTTACAGATGGGAAATCTGAGGCCCAGAGAGGTCAAGACCATTCAGCAAGCCTCGGGGCGGTGGGGAGGGAAGGGGAGCCAGAACACCCACCCACCCAGGCCTCTGGGCTCCCAGGGCTAGGTGCTCTTCCACAGCACCCAATACGAGCCAGTCAGTCAGCAGGTGTAGGTGCTGCCTAGGTTCTGACCACTCAGAGTGAACTGGAGAAACAAAGCTGTCCTCCTCAGGGCAGCCAGATGTCCCCCAGCTATCAGCACCTCAGCTACTACAGCTCACAAAACACTGGACCTGGCATGGGAGGGAAGGAGCTTGGGTTCACCAAGCAGTTACCACATGCCAGGCCCGATGCTAAGGTCTTTTCTTGTGGCCATTCATGCAGCCCCTGCCATCTTGTACTATAGAAGGCCGAGGTTCTAAGGAATCTCCTAGGGAACCAAAGGTCACACATCTGATGTGTGTCAGCTGCCATCCACACAAGGTCAGCCCGACTCCACAGTGACTGAGTTTCAGGGGCATGAAGTACCTGGCCCAGTTCTGATCTTACAGATCAGAAACCCAGCGTTAACGGCGGTAGAGTGTGAGTCCAGCCAGTGCGGAGCCGGGTAGACAGCAGGGCTTCAGGGAGTGCTCTTCCTTAAAGTGTGGAGCTCTTGGTAGTCCATCAGTGGAACGCGCGGAGGCCTTCTGACCTGAACCTTTCTTTCTCTTGAAAGCGGGAAGCCATGGCTGTGGGCCAATCCACAGACATTCCTATTGGCTCTGGTCCCAGACCTCAAACCTGGAGCAAGCCCCACTGCCTACCAGCACACAGAAAGCTGTGCCCTAAGCTCAGAGCTTATAACCCCCCCTCTGCCTCATTTCTACCAGCTCATCCAAACTTTTCTCAGTTGCCAGTTGCATCTTCTCACCCAGCCTCCTTCCATAGTGTACATTGCGGATTGCGGAAGTCGGAGTTGCCCTCAGTGGTTGTACTGAGGGAAGCTTGGGCTCTCTTGTGATTAGCAACAAGAAGCAACCTTGTTACTCACTTCTGTAATATGGAGGTTTTGATACACTGTATCGTTCAAGTTGGGAATGAACATAGTTTTCATCCATGTCTGGGCTTCAGAGTCCTCCCCTTCCCCCATGAAGACAGTTGTTTTGCAACCTCTGCCTCTGCTCCAATACTGAGGAACAGCGATGTGTTCTGTGATACACCGTCTAGTTTTTCAGCTGTGGTAGATGTGGAGGTGTTCCGAGGTCTGTTGTCTGGGCCTTTTCTCAGCATTATGCATTGTCTGGTGAACTCTGCCTCTTTCCGGCACATGCTCTTTTAGGCCCTGGCGTGGGTAATATTTCTGTACATAGTGATAGTTTGGGATTGAGCAAGACCAAAGATAGAAAGGACCATACTTTGGCTGGCCCCAGTGTTACAGTTTCATGATCACAAGTAAGCAAAAACTGAGCACCGGGTAGGATGGGCCCGCATCCCTTGGAAACTGGGAATATCACTCCGAGTGTCTTCAACCCAGCTGGCCCTGTTACGTACTGTTGACACAGAAGCAAGAGCACGTGGTATGTCTTGCTGCACAGACATACTGAACCAAGGCGCTGGACCGATTTTTCCTGAGCGGGTTGTTTCTCAATCCTCTTCTCTCTGCCCTCCTAAGGCATCCACTCAACTGCCATGGTGCAGGATGAGGACATGTGCAGAAAGTGTGGTGCGTGTTCTTGTGGCCTTGGGGCCCTGCTAGGAGTCCTGCTTAGGCTTTCTCTCGGTGGCACTTTGGTAATGGCTTTTGGTTTACATGAATCCCCAGTTGCTAGAAGCTAGTTTGGGGGCCTCCAGGCGCCCTGGACAAATTGAATGGTATCTGGAAGTACATGGCAAGGAAGAGGCGAGCTAGTAAGTGTTGATATTAGGCATGGAAAAGTCCAGAAGCTGACCCAGGTCTGTGTCTTGGTTAACATGCTTGGTCACCCAACCCTGAGCATGGCAGGGTCCACCTGTTGACAGCACTGGCTTTGACAGGACCCTTCAGGTTTGAACACGGGTGACCGTGCCAGAGGCACAAGTCCAGCACCTTGAATGTGTGACTCACCACTCAAAGTGACTGATCCGTGACTTTTCTTTTCTGTCTCCATTCCTTTTAGCTTTAACGTCTCCTAAACCGAACTTGATGGGTCTGCCCAGCACAACAGTTCCTTCCCCTGGCCTCCCCACATCTGGATTACCAAATAAACCGTCCTCAGCTTCGCTGAGCTCCCCGACCCCAGCACAAGCCACCATGGCAATGGCCCCTCAGCAACCCCCACAACCCCAGCAGCCGCAGCCACAGGTGCAGCAACCTCCGCCGCCGCCAGCAGCCCAGCCGATACCCACGCCACAGCTTCCCCTGCAACAGCAACGCAAGGACAAAGACGGTGAGAAAGGAAAGGAGAAGGAAAAGGCACACAAAGGGAAGGGGGAACCCCTACCTGTCCCCAAGAAGGAGAAAGGAGAGGCCCCTACAGCGGCTACAGCTACCATCTCAGCCCCACTGCCCGCCATGGAGTACGCGGTGGACCCTGCTCAGCTGCAGGCCCTGCAGGCGGCCTTGACTTCAGACCCCACAGCATTGCTCACGAGCCAGTTCCTTCCTTACTTCGTACCAGGCTTTTCTCCTTATTATGCCCCCCAGATCCCTGGCGCCCTGCAGAGCGGGTACCTGCAACCTATGTATGGCATGGAAGGCCTGTTCCCCTACAGCCCTGCCCTGTCGCAGGCCCTGATGGGGTTGTCTCCAGGCTCACTACTGCAGCAGTACCAGCAATACCAGCAGAGTCTGCAGGAGGCAATTCAGCAGCAGCAACAGCAGCAGCAGCGGCAACTACAGCAGCAGCAGCAGCAACAACAACAACAACAAAAAGTGCAGCAGCAGCAGCAGCAGCCCAAAGCAAGCCAAACCCCAGTCCCCCAGGGGGCTGCTTCCCCAGACAAAGACCCTGCCAAAGAATCCCCCAAACCAGAAGAGCAGAAAAACGTCTCCCATGAGGTGTCCCCCCTCCTACCGAAACCCCCCGAAGAGCCAGAAGCAGAAAGCAAAAGTGCGGACTCCCTCTGTGACCCCTTCATTGTTCCAAAGGTGCAGTACAAGTTGGTCTGCCGCAAGTGCCAGGCGGGCTTCGGCGACGAGGAGGCGGCTAGGAGCCACCTGAAGTCCCTCTGCTTCTTCGGCCAGTCTGTGGTGAACCTGCAAGAGATGGTGCTTCATGTCCCCACCGGCAGTGGTGGAGGTGGCGGTGGCGGTGGCAGCAATGGCTCATACCACTGCCTGGCGTGCGAGAGCGCGCTCTGCGGGGAGGAAGCGCTGAGTCAGCATCTCGAGTCGGCCTTGCACAAACACAGAACAATCACGAGAGCAGCAAGAAACGCCAAAGAGCACCCTAGTTTATTACCTCACTCTGCCTGCTTCCCCGATCCTAGCACCGCATCTACCTCGCAGTCTGCCGCTCACTCAAACGACAGCCCCCCTCCCCCGTCGGCCGCCCCGTCCTTGTCCGCTTCCCCCCACGCCTCCAGGAAGTCTTGGCCGCCAGTGGGCTCCCGGGCTTCGGCCGCAAAGCCCCCTTCTTTTCCTCCTCTCTCCTCATCTTCAACGGTTACCTCAAGTTCATGCAGCACCTCAGGGGTTCAGCCCTCGATGCCAACAGACGACTATTCGGAGGAGTCTGACACGGATCTCAGCCAAAAGTCCGACGGACCGGCGAGCCCGGTGGAGGGTCCCAAAGACCCCAGCTGCCCCAAGGACAGTGGTCTGACCAGTGTAGGAACGGACACCTTCAGATTGTAAGCTTTGAAGATGAACAATTACAAATGAATTTAAATAAAAAAATTAATAACAAACCAATTTCAAAAATAGACTAACTGCAATTCCAAAGCTTCTAACCAAAAAAACAAAAAAACAAAAAAAAAAAAAAAAAGGAAAAAAAAAGAAAAAGCGTGGGTTGTTTTCCCATATACCTATCTATGCCGGTGATTTTACATCCTTGTCTTTTTTTTTTCTTTTACTATTAAAAAAAAGAAAACACAAATCCTACCCCAGTTACATTGTGTCCTTTTAAAGGTACTATTGGTCGGGGAAGCTGAAGTCCGCAGGGCCTGCCTATTGTCGTTGGAGCTTAAACCCCTTGTATATTTGCCCCTTTTGAGAACTACCCCACCTTGATAGCACAGAGGAGGCCGGCACGCGCTGTATGGGAAAGCACTCCGCCTTGTTACAGTTTTAAATGTCTTGCTAGCTTAGCACTCAGATACCAATGGCTTGCTAAAAGAAAAAAAAAAAAAAAGAAAAAGAAATGTAATGTCTTTTTATTCTCAGGTCAATCGCTCACACTTTGTTGTTTTCAGAATCATTGTTTTATGTTTTTTTTTCTTTTGTTCCAGAAAAGATTTTTTTTTTGTTTTGTTTTGTTAATTTAAAAATGGGCAGAAAGTATTCAAGAAAAACAATGTGAACTGCTTTAGCTTTCTGGGGATTTTAAAGAATAGCTTTTCTGTTGAAGCCAATTTCAAGGGGAAAAGCTAAGCACTCCCACCTTCAGAGAAAAAAAAAACCCACACAGAGTGTTGAGGACTTGTAGCTTAAAAAAGATGAGTTTTAAAAACTGACTTTCTGTATTTATGGTAGGTATGAGCATTTTTGGTGTTGAGTAGATTGCGGCATTGGAGATGAGCTGAAGCAGTATGGTAGACTTAAACCCTTGGTGCGCTTAGCTTTCGTGTGGTCCAGCGACAGCTCCTCATTTGATGTCTTGTTCATCCCTAGTGGATAGATTGCAATCTGTTGCTTCACCTACACTTCTCCCCTCCCCCCCCCATCTCCCTCTTAAAGTGGCTGCCTTCGTTTCTTGGAGGGTGGCTGCAGAATTATTTTATAAACCTAGAGAAAGCATTTCGGAGGACTCCAGGGGTCACCAGGGTCCTCACAGATTATTTTTGGCTGGGGAGCTGAGACTTTGGAAAGGCAGTTAATTCTAGTTACCTGTGTCTGGTAGCCCTGAGCGTTTAGCTTTTTATTTATCCTTCTTTTGCTTTTTCTTTATGCCCCTCCTCCTCTTTCTCTCTCTCTCTCCTTGATCTGTGGACTCTTCAAATATTCTTTTCTTGAACTAAAACATTCGTTTCAGTTTCTGTAGTTGAGGCTGTTTGCGTTTCTTTCTAAGGTTTTTGGCTAGAGATTTGGTTTTGGTTTTTGTGTTTGTGTCTTTTCTTTCCTCTCTCAGAAAAAGAAATTTCATGCTTTAAAAAAAAAAAAAAACAATCCAAAGACACACCCTTTCACTGCTGATGCAGAAAAGGGGGAAAAGGTTCTTGTTACTTGAGAATTTGTTTCTGATTTAAACAAACAAGACTTAGTGTAATAAAAGAAAGAGTAACACAAAAGAGTTCCCAGGTCATTGTGTGCTTCTTCTGCAAGCAGAGAGGCAACTGTTAATGACAATTCCAGATACCAAAAGACACATTTTTTTTTTTTAACTTCAAAGTTTTGTCCTTGTATTAGGCAGTCTGAGCGGCGAGTGATCCGGAGTGCAGCCAACAAAGAACAGATAGCAGTGTACAGTGAGCAAAAAAGGAACCATGTGCATCAGGCACTTGTGTTTCTGTTACTATCCATATCCCTGTAACACAACACAACGCAACACACACCCATCTTCATCTTAAAAACGGTCTGAACTTTGAAAGGAGAACTTTGTGCTGCTAAAACATAAGTTTTGAAGACAAATAGATGCTTTGCTTTTTCAGTTTCATAGCCAAACCCCAACAGACATAATCTCCCTCACCCCCAAAGTGCGACCGCCTCCCTCACTCTCTTATGTTTCAAAGGGAACTTTGAAGACTGTGAATCCAGGTTCCGTTGGCCACCTTCTGGGCTTCTTCCCCAGTGCTGAAGCCACTCATTGACTTTGCAAAAGACTGGAGCATTCCAAGATCTGAAATCTTTTCATTTTTCCTTTTTCTTTCTTTCCTTTCTTTCTTAGCCGGGACTATTTTTATTAATTTGTTTTTAGTTAAAGAAAGAGTAGGTCCTGAACTGTTGTACATATTTCTAACTAGGCTGATGCACAGTGCAAATTCCTTTTTAATTTTTTAAAAGTAGAAATACAAAAAGAAAACCATCGTAACTATCAGTATCCAGTTGTAGCATAAGGTGTCAAAAAAAACAAATACGCAAAACACTGTTTTAAATAGCTATTTCCTTTTAACAAGAATTCTTGTATTTCTCCCTGTGTTTTGAGATGAACACTTTTAAATTTTAAAGTTGTACAGTTTTTTTGTTTTCCATTATTTTATCTTGTTTGTAACTCTATGAAATATATATATATATATTTTTTGCCATTTAACTGTTGTATGTTACTGTGTCTGTATCTATAGAAAAATGTTTGTTTTTGGTTCTCTGTGTGATACGGTTTAACAATTTAACACTAGCTTTACCTGCCATTCTGCTAGGTCTTCTCGAAAACTGTTTTTTAAAATGATATTGCTTGGTAATAGTGCAATTTCTATCCTCCCCACCCCCAACCTCAAGTTTTTTTTTTTTTTTTTTTTTTTAACTCTGCCAGCCCTTCCCCAATGGTTTTGTTTGTTCTATTTTGAGCTACTACCGTCCTCCCTCTGTGAGGCAGAGTGACTGTCAGTGTTTCACTGTGCCATGCCTTGACCCGTGGGTGTGTTTGGCAACAATAAGGTGGTTGGGTAGAATGGCTGCTGCCCACCAGTGCCCCTCAAAGGAGATCTGTGAGGGTTTCAACCTGGAGTGGCTTGCGTACTGACCGCTTTCCTCTATGGCTGCGGCACCCACACGTATGTTCATCAAAGAAGAAATCCTCAGCACTAAGCCAGAAATAGCAAAGCAGTCAGTGATGGTGAAAATCAGCAGGCAAACAAGAGCCGGTCACGGAGTTGTGGCCTAGCAGCCACAGTGGCCATGACCTGTAGCGTGATAAAGCATGCATTCCCTACAGTGCTCAGCCGTTTAGATGCTCTCCCTCGGGGAGTCTGCTCCTGTCTGCTGCTGGAGCAAGTAGCTGAGGAGACTGTCTCAACTCACTTTTAAAATTGGTTCCTAACTTCTATTGGCACTTCGGTTTTGGGGTTTTGGTTTGTTTTCGTTGTTGGCGTGAATATCTCCCCACCCCCCACCGCCCAGTTCCTTCATGGTGTGACTTGGTGCTAGACACTCTTGGGCATGAGGCACCTGGATACCTGTCAGAATCGGAAGTTATTTCATCCATCCTTTCTCTATCCCTCCCATAAGTTTAAGAAAGGAAACACACACACACACACACACACTGCATCTAGGAAGTTGGGGTTTTTCTTAGTTTGCTTTTTTAGTTGAAAGCTATTTAAAAAGATGAATGTGGCCAAAGTGTTACACAATTGAAAATAAACTAAAAGAGGTGGCACACGATGAAACCTGAGTTATCAGGCATGGCAGGAAGTTGCGGGAGAGAGGCAGTGACCCAAGCCAGTGCACTTGATGTTCATGGACATATATTTTTTTTAAATAATAAATTAAATTAAAACATTTTAAATAGAAGCATAAAACTGAGTTGGTTGTTTGTTGGCGCTGAGATACTGCCCACTGTGAAACAAAGCTTTGACTAGTTTGTTTTGTTTGTTTACTTTCTTCAGGGGGGGAGGGGGCAAGTTTGGGTAGGAAGGAAAGCATAAACGAACGTGACCCTGAGGTAAAGAGGTATATGAACAGCCTTTGCAATGTACAAAAAAAAAAAAAAACCAACAACAAAAAACACAAAAAAACTAACAAAAACAACAAAAACAAAAAAAATAGAGCAAGTGAAACCAAAAATGATGTTCTTGGTGTTTTTCTATAATGTAGTCTTGTTAGCTTTTTTGTTACTGTAACAACGCTGATCTCGAACTGTACCAAAATACATGGAGACTAACAGAACCACAAGGAACTCTCAAACTGAAAAAGAAATTTGTCACAAAAACTTTGTTGTCATAGTTAAGTTGATTGTAGATGGTAATTGAATATACTCCTTTGAAAATATTTCATCAAGTATGTTTCCTGCTCATTGTGATACATTAAAAAATATGAGCAAAAGTTCTTGTCTGTTACCAGATTTGTGTGCATGGACGGGAGCATACACGGAAAAGATGCCCACAGCTGGGGAAGTGTAAATTTTATCAATGTCTTAAGGCTGTGTGTGCCAAGTGTACTTATCCCAAGGTGCATGAGAAGGTACACAAACCATAGTTACTCTTCGGTGTCTTTGTACTGGTGTGTGTCTGGGCCAAAGCAAGCCTTGGAGAGTCCCTGATCCAGAGAGCCCCAGTAGTTAGTGTAGTTAGCTAATTTTTTTTAATGCAAACTTTACTGTGAAAATTTGAGGTACCTAGTACAACCTCAAGCGACGGAATTTTGCTAATGGTCAGGAGAGAGCTAGGTTTAACTTAACTGAAGTGGGAATTGGTGGTCACGGCAGAAGGAAGGAAGTGGTGGCTGGCAGTTTCCGTGACCTGTGAAAGGGCTTGCTTAGCCTCTGGTAAGAGGATCCAAGGCAGCCCAAGCACAGTGGCCTCAGTGATTCCTCCATGCGAGTGACTAGACATGGCAGAGGCTCCTGTTGGAAGCCCTCATTCTGCAGTATAAAATCCATTAATGAGGAGCACATCTACAATTGGGCCCAAAGAGCTTTCATTCATCTCTAATTTATTAGACACAGCTAATAAATAATTTAGAGAACTCTAGCGGCCAGGCTTGGGTACCACCACCAGCTACTTATGTCCTTGCAAGGGGTGCAGTATCAGCCACTGGGTCAACAGGAACCTTGTCTTCTAAGGTGTTGAGCTAAGGAACCCCCCCCCTTCTGTTGGCCCCAGACATCTACTGCCAAGCAAGTCTTCCCCAACCCCTCGGGCTGGTGCAGCAGCCTTCAAGGGGCAGCAGCAATCCTATTAATTTGCAATCTCAGTCTGCAGGTGTCACAAGCATTGCTTGGACTCAGAAGAAAGCTGCCTCTATGGCCAGTGCTCGAAATTCTGTGCCAAACAAGTACGGCCACTGTCCCTAATGAAGTCCAGCTTTTTCCCCAAGCATGAGACTTTTCTTTCTGATGTTGCTGACAAAGCATAGGGCTGCACAGCTGTGTCCCTCATCTCTCCCTAACCCCATGAAACCATGCAGTACGATCAGAGTGGCTAAGAGCCAAAGCCGTCTCTGCCTTCCATACTACAGCTAGGAGATCGCATTGTTTTCAATGGAATCTATTTTGCATAGGCTACAAATTCTTTCACAGGTAAAATTTTACCTGGAGAATTGGGTTAGAGACCAGAGGTTCTTGTTCTCTCTCTCTTTCTCTCTCTTTCTCTCTCTCTCTCTCTCTCTCTCTCTCTCTCTCTCTCTCTCTCTCTGTCTGTCTGTCTNTTCTCTCTCTCTCTCTCTCTCTCTCTCTCTCTCTCTCTCTCTCTCTCTGTCTGTCTGTCTGTCTCTCTCTCTCTCTCTCTCTCTCTCTGGAAAGCTCCCCTACCCCCAAAGGCAGTAAGGCTTCAGGATCACTCTCAAGTGGATATTAATTTCCTTGGAACTAATAGCCTCCCCACCCACAGAACATGAGCAATGCACATTGGATAGCTGTTTCTAATTGCTTTAAAGAAAGTCTGGTACCTAGCCCCTCGTAGACTAACGACTTTCTCACTTTGAGCAAATTTAGAATATAAGTTACAAGAGGCAAACTGAGGGATGAGAGGTTTGTGCCCGCTGCTCTGCAGCCTTAATTCTAGCAAGACAGACGTCCTCGTTCAGCCTCCACATCGGTGCTGGGTGGACCAGACAAAGCTTGCACAGAAGCTAATGGTCTCCAGGCTGTCAAGGCAGAGGCCAAGTTCATCGTTCTCTACTTCATGCTAAGGGTGGGTCTTTTCTTTCTCACATACATACATACATACACAGAGGATAGGTAGATAAGATAGATATAGTGTGTGGGTTTATATGTAAATATTTTCTTTCAGTTCTTTAAACTAGCAAGCATCATGTTTGGTTGGATTTCTGAGATGAGGGGGAGGGAATCTTACTATATAGTCTTGGCTGTCCTTGATCTCACTATATAAACCAGGCTAGCCTTGAATTTACAGATCTGCTTGCCTCTGCCTCCCAAATGCTGGGATTAAAGCGGCATATTTTGAAAATGTTTTAGCCAGTTAGGTTGGTTTCCTCTGTTTCTAGTTACTGGCAACAAAAGTAAATGAGGAGTTAGCCCTCCCTAACTGTGGCTATTTAACCCAACTCTTGACCCCTATATCAATCTGAGAATGAAAG